ATTTTAGTAGCTCCCTACAAAAATACCTGGAGTGCAAGACTCCAAAGGGTTCAAAAAATTGCTTAAAAAGTTATGCTCATGTGATGATGATCCATCCATGTGTCTAATGAAACAGCTGTAACTTTTTAGAATGATAATGATTAAAAAATGGTTGTGAGTTCATGTGAATTTTCCTCTCCATTTATTTGCCTGTATTTTCTAAATGTTTTGTAATACACACATACTACTTTGTTAATGTGAGAAACTCTTCATTAAACAAGAGGAGAGTCAGATGGTCAAAAGCAATTTTCTGGAGTCCAAAGACCAAGATTAAATTTCAGATATGCTGTATGACTTCTAAACTTCAGTTTGTTCCTCTACCACATTGGGATGGTACCAAAGTTTGTTTTTTTTTTTCTGAATCAAATTAACTAATGCACATAAAGACATTGGATATCCTAGCACAGATTTTGTTTTGTTTTTGTCTTTTAGTACATGGAAGCAGGTTTTATCCCAGCTAGACTGAATTTAAGGGCAGGATTGAATTTCTTTCCTCCTTTAGTTCTACCATCTAGGAAGAGATAGTTCATGGAAGACAATCACATTGTTGAATGAATGTTGGTCAGATGAAGAATTTATTTAATTCACATCCCAACTCCAAGACCTGCTATCCTGGAAATTAGATCATTGTACTGAACATATTCATCCAGGGTTTTTTAAAGGTATATTTTAAAAACAGACTGGCTTTTATGTGAATGACAAAGTGTATGGAGAGCTTTAAAGACCCTGGAGGGATTGTTCTATGCAACTATCATAAGCCCAACCATATAAATGTCTGCTTTTGTCTTTATTTGTATGAGTCTCTAATTATCTCATACATCATATCTCTCTGACTCCATGACAAAGTTACTCACATGCTCTCCATGAATATTTCTTCTTGAGATTTGCATTGATAGCAATAGAGAGAGACAATAATTGAAAGTTTAAAAAGTGACCAAAATTAAAAATGCAACATGGCCCACTTTTCATGTTCTCAGTGGCAATTTGTCCCAGGAGAGGTACATGCACTATTCTGTGATTTTTGAAAATGTGACTGTGTTTTTTATTGTTACATATTGCAAGTGCCATGCACTTAGCAGCTTAAGAAGACACATGGCTAGGATCTCAGTTTCTGTGGGTAAGGGATCATGCACAGTTTAGCTGGAGCCTCTGGTTCTGGTTCTTAAGATGTACAGCGAAGGTGTTGGCCAGGGTTCTGGTAAATTTTGTGACTTGAATTTAAAAGGATCTACCTCCAAGCTCCATGGGCCATGGGCAGCATTCACCTCTTGCTGTTCCCTACCTTGAATTCTTTATCACACAAATTTCTACATAAAGACGCTTATTCTATCAAAACCAGCAAGAGAGAAAGTCCACATAGTCTGTTAGCAAGATGGAAGTTAAAATCTTATGTAATAGTACTAGAGAATTCACATTTCATCTTCTCTGCCACATTTAATCAGTTAGAAACAAGTTCCAAGTCCTGTCTATACTCCAGGGGAGAAGATTATACAAAGACAAGAATGCAAGTGGGTGGCGATATCCAGACCAGCCACTCAAAGACCCAAGGACCACAGTGTTCAAAGGGATTGGTTTTAAATTCTCAAGATCAGCCATATGTGATCCATTGCTGTCTTCTGCTGTGAGAATGGTGCTGAAAATACTGCTCTTGACACTGCTCAGTGCTCCTACTTAATTTCCATGGAGTGACCGCTTTGAAATTCATTGCTAGGAAAAATTTAGCTTCAAAAGTTTTGATTTTTATTTTGAAATTAATAACCATCAGCCCCATTTCCACATTGATGTTCTGGGGTTTAACTAAAACAACTATTACTCTTACATGTTGTGTTTCACATTTGTTCCTTAATCTTTTCTTTTCTTGCACATTTATTTTTATTTAAATTTTATAACTACTATGTCATTATGTATATTCTTATGGGAGGAAACATAAATAAGTGAAAGAAGGCAGAGGTTTGGTAGGCTTCAATCTTAAGCATTGTCAATATGTAGCTGAAATGAGTTCCTGAATATTTGCCTGCCCACTGAATAAAGTATCAAAAATGTTTTGTATTTTACTTATTCTCTTAGCAAGTGAGAGGGCTAGAAGAAAGACAATTTAAAATTTATCATAGATTATATTTTGAAAGAAATCATTAGAATGAAGCCTAGGTTTAAACTGAGATCTTTGATTGAGTTAACTGAGACTGGGTTAGAGAGAGTTACCTGGTTTGGATGAGTGTCCCCCAATGCCTATGTGTTAAATGCTTGTTCTTCAGGGTGGTGCTATTGGGAGGTGATGGAACGTTTCAGGTTTGTGGCCTTGTGAGAGGTATTTAAGTCATTGAAGGTGTGTGCTCAAAGGCGTTTGTGAGACCCTATTCATTTCTCTTCCTCTTCTCTGCCTGGGTTGTGATGTAAGCAGTTTGCTTTACCG